TAAACCTGGGAAGGCAACCCCCCCCCAACCAGGGGCCCCCCCCCCCCCCCCCCCCCCGTGGTCTTGCCTGACTGCTCTACACACACAAGCACACACAACCTGCCGCCGCCTTGCAGGCTGGCAAGCCGGCTGGAGTCGGCGGCGGCGGCGGGCGACACGCTGTGCTGCCACAACCTCGCCATGGTGGCGGCGCACCTGTACCTGGCCGGAGCGCTCAAGCCAGACGTCGTCTACAGCATACTGCACAGCTGGCGCCAGCGGTGCGTGCCAGGCTGGCGGCGCACCTTCTGTGCCGCGCTCGCCGCTGCGCTTATGCAGTGTTTGCGCCCTTCGGGCACGATTCCCTGTGGCATGATTCCCTCCTCCCCTGCCTCCTGCTGACAGCGCGTGTGTGCTGCATCTGTGTGCCGTCCCCTTTTTCAGGTTCACAGAGACCGACGTCAGCATGATTGTCACGCTGCTGCATGCCGCCGGCCTGCAGCTCAGAGCAGGTGGGGCGCGCAGCTCGCCGCTGCTCTCCTGCCAGCCCGCACTGCTGCCCTGCCCTGCTGAGGTGCTGCTTGCTGGCACACTCGCCGCTGCGTCCTCCTCCACCACCAACCCTTTGCTGGTGCCGGTGGCCCTTCTCAACCGTTCACAACTCTGGCTCAACTCTGGCTCAAACCTCGATTCAACCGTTCTCAACCCTGCCCCCAACCTGGCCCCACCCCCTGCAGCGGATCCGGTGGCGATGAAGGAGTTTGTGGTTGCGGTGCACGTGAGGGCGGGGGAGGCGGGGGGCGCGGGCACGCTGACGCGCCGCGCCCAGATGCTGCTGGAGCTGGTGGTGGATGTGAAGAACAACAGGTGGGGGCGAGAGGGTCGGAGCCAGGGAGGGAGGGAGACGGAGGGGTGTGGTGTGTGAATGTGTGGGCCTGGCTGGGGCCTGGCTGGGGCCTGCTGCAGAGCTGGCGCGTACCGCATGATACTAGCCGTGCCACACGATACTGGTGCGTACCACACGATACTGGGGTGTGTACCACGAGAGCTGGTGCTGCAATGGCGCTGCCGCCTGGCCCACACCACCACCGCCGCGCGCGCCCCCGGGCTGCAGGCGGCGGGAGGAGGCCAAGCACAGGGTCGTGGCGCTGGCGCCCGCCGTGAGCAAGTGGCTGAAGGCTGGTGGGGCAGCTGACGTGGCGCTGGGCGGCATCACCTGGGACAAAGTGCTGCAGCCCAACAAGAGGGTGAGAGGGCGGTCGGTTATTGGCTGCTACGAGCGCGGCCCACGCTGCATCGCCTCGAGCTCCAGCTGCTGGTGGTGGTGGGGGTGGGGGTGCTGCTGCTGCTGCTCCTGCTGGTGCTGCTGCTGGTGCCGGTGCTGGTGCTGGTGCTGGTGCTGGTGGTGCCGCTGCTGGTGGTCGTGGTGGTGGTGCTGGTGGTGGTGAGGCTAAGGCTTGCGCTGCTACTACCACCGCCGCTGCTGCCGCTGCTGCAGGGCATTTGGTGGATGCCAGAGGCGACCGATGCGGTGCCCCTGAGGCTGGGCGGCAGCGCGGCGCTGCAGGCGGCGGCCGCAGAGGCGGCTGCGGGCGGCGGCGGCGAGGGCGGCCTGGCGGGCCCGGAACTAATCAAGCTGGCCGCGGCGCTGCGCATGAACACGGGTGGGCGGGGCAAGGTGCCGGGCTGGGCGGGGTAGGAGGGCTGAGAGGCGGCCGTGCACGCCGGCGTGCTTGTCGGGACCTGGCTCCAGGAGCAGGAGCAGTACGGGCAACCGCAAGGGCGCTGCGGTGCTGCGGTGGCAGAGTGCACCGCAGGCAGCTTCTGCGGGTCCACCCCTGGGCCTCATTCCGCCCAACCGTGCCGCACCCTTCCTTTGCCGCAGACGTGCGGCGGGCCGTGTTCTGCGTGGTGATGGGAGCCGAGGACTGCGTGGATGCTGTGGAGCGGCTGCTGCGGCTGGGCCTCAAGGGGGAGCAGGAGCGGGAGGTGGCGCGGGTCACCGTCGAGTGCTGCCTGCAGGTCGGGCGCTGGGGCTACCGCTGCTGCCGGTGCTGCTGCTGCTGTCGCTCGTCGGGGCAGGAGCTGCTGCTGCTGCCGCCAGGCAGGCGCCTGAGCTGCCGCCCAAACACTTGAGCAGTGCCTGCCGCTGCTGCCGCAACTGCCGTGCAGGAGAAGGCGTGGAATGCGTATTATGCGCACCTGCTGCTGCGGCTGTGTGGCGCGGGGAAGAGCCACAAGATGACACTGCAGGTGGGGTGCTGGTATACACTGTGGCTGCAGGCGCAAACCAGATTGGCCCCAAGGCCGGCTTGTGCCTGCACGTTGTTTGTGCGTGGCTGGCGTGCAAAGCACCGGGGGGCTGTCCAGCAACCACAGTGCAGCTCGCCGGCTTTGGCCGCGTTCCCGTCGCCCCCACCTCACCCCTGGGCTGCTACCGTGCTGCTCCCCTGTCCCCTGCCGCCAGTTTTGTTTTTGGGATCAGCTGAAGGAGGTGGCGGGCATGGAGGTGCGGCGCCTAACCAACCTGGCGCGCCTGATGGGCACAGTGCTGGCCGCCGGCGGTCTACCGGGGACCATGCTCAAGGTGGGTGCCGCCTGCCTAGATACAGGGCGGGCCTGAGCGGTGTGGTGGCGTGGAGGGAGCCAGCTGGGCAGGCAGGGGGATCCAGCCGTGGCTGGTTTTGGGCTGGCTTGGCATCTCGCAACGCTCTGGATGCCCGTCTACGTCCCTCGCTTCTTCACCCCGTGGCGCTCGTGCGGACGTCCTGGGTCCACCGGCGCCTGCCCTGCCTGCTGCGCCTGCTGCGCCTGCTGCGCCTACGACATCGACGTGCCCGCTGTGCCTGCTGTGCCAGGTGGTCGACTTCTCGGGCGCCCTGTCGCCCCGCGAGGTCCTCTTCTGGCGCATCCTCTTCGAGCACCTGCTGGCCAGCTGCAAGACTCCGGCAGACGCCGCCTCCTTCTTCAAGCGGTGGGGCGGGGCAGGGCAGCGGCTGGCAACAGCCGGCTGCGGCGGCACCAGGCTAGGCTGCATGGCAGGCTGGCTGGGTGTGCTGCCGAATTTTCGCCGAGTTTCTGGCTCACCAGCTGCCACCCCACCACACTGCCACCTGCTGCAGCATCGCAATCCAACCGGAGCTGAAGCCCCTTAGGACGGCGCTTGGTGCCTTTTTGCGGTGCAGCGTGGGCCCCTGGCTGGCCGCCAAGCAGCCCGGCAGCAGCGGGCTGAGCGCGGAGCAGCTGGGGGAGCTGCTGCGGCGGCTCAGGGGGGCCGAGAAGGCGCTGGCGTCGTCTGGGTGAGGCGGCATCGGCACCGGCGAGCAGCTTACAGTTGCACAAGTCATGTGTACAAGTCGTGTGAATGAAATACAGATGGACAAGTACATGCAAGTACATGCAAGTACATGCAAGTACATGTATCACATGGTCACATGGTACAAAGACCAGCGGAGGCGTCTCCGAGGCAAGGTGGCTAGAAGCGTCGCCGTTCCTGCGTGGCGGCCACCAGGTGCAGGAGGTCGCGCACCCGCCCGCCGTCGATGTGCATCTGTGCCGCAAACAGCGCCGCCACCTGCTGCATGTCGGGCTCGGAGGTGTCGTACCGCACCTGCAGGGCACGCGGTACCGCACCAGTCAGTGAAGGGCAGCATGGATACCGCAACGGTGACCGAGGAGCACCGGAACCACAGGAAGCGGGTGGGACCAAGCACTCAAGCAACCACCTAAACGGCAAGGGAGGCTCGGCACTCCCACCCGCAACGCCCACCTCCAGCACTAGCGCATCCTTGAGCCGCAGCTCCTCGGCGTGCATGCGGCTGCAGGCAGGGCAGAACCGCACCAGCTGTTGAGACGCATGCCAGTCGATACCTCGCGCGGGTATACTAACCCGCTGGTATAACCCATAAACGCATCTTCCCTCCGCCCTGCCCACAGGCATGTGGAAGCGGGTGCGGGCTGTCGGCTTGCTGTCCAGCTCCAGCGCTGCAGCGGGCAGGCACCATTCACCTTATGTCTTCCAAGCCCTGCAAGCACTGCGCAATCGAGGGGATGGGCCCCGCCGCCACAGCGCACACAGCCGGCGTCAGGCTGCGGTCCTGGCGGATCATGCGCTGTGCCTGCTGGGCCTGGCGTGCCATGTCGTCCACGACGCCCTGCAGCACACAGCACGTGTGTTTCTGGGCGGCATCACCCGTGGGGCAGCTGAGAGTGCGGGGGCAGGTGCATCCTCTTCCCTGGCAGTGCCTGCCGCGCACACCGGCCAGCAACCAGCGCGTGCAGAAGCTGGCTTCTGTCTGGACGCAGCAAGCGGCTAGCCAGCACCCCAGCTTGCCTGCATGCCGTCCAGGAACTCCTGCAGCTGCGCAATCAGCTCGTCCAGCGCCACCAGCTGCTTGGCCAGCAGCAGGCGCGGCAGGCCGGGGAGCGGTGCCAGCGTGCCGTATGACCCCGCATCCTCCAGCGCAGGCAGCCTTGCAAGCACGTTGGCCGTGGTGCGCAGCAGCGACAGCGCCTCTTCCTGCAGGACCGGCAGGAGGCAGCAGCAAGGAGGGGCTCATGGAGGGTTGCCTGGCGGAGGGAGCGGCGACAGGTGGTGGTGGCACGGCCGAGTGCGGCGGCGCTGCTGAACGCCGCCCCTGCTACCTGCAGCGTCGTCCAGCGCTTCACGTCCGCCTCCACTTTGCCATACAGCTGCCGCAGCTTCTCCAGCACCTTGCCGCTGGCCATGGGATGCCCAAAGTTGCGATGGCTGCAGTTAATTTCGGCGCCGACCGAAGACCAGGAGTGGACCGAAGACCGAGAGGAAGGCAGGTCTGCGCTTGCCGCTGGGATGATCACCATCATGAGCAGCGCCGCCTGGTTGGTGGGCCATCGTGCTGTGATTGGCGTGGCAGGGCCATCTCAGATGGGGTTGCCGGATCCACGGAATCAGGCAGGTGATTGAGACTGGATCAACAACCGCAGCTGCGCGCAGAAGGATCAGCCCGTGTGTCGCGGCTGCCGACGACCGCCGCCACCTGACGGCACTGATCATCCTCCCACGAGCTAGAGCGATGCTCTGAGTGTCGCACAATTCGTCCGGATCTGCTGCTGCATCTGCAAAATGCATGCCCCGCCACCGCAGGGGCGACGGCCGTGCCGGCAGCTGCTGGCACCTGTCCTGGGCCATCACAGCCAGTACAACAGTTGAACGCGCCTCCTCGACAGCCGCTGAGACCATTCACCCTTGGTGCGGCACCTCCTCAACAGCAGCACCTCTCGCTTGTCTCGCCCGCACGGATCCATGACGGCTGTCCGGCTCCTGGGGGTGCTAGCGCTGGTGGCGGCAGCTATCAGCGCCAGGGGTGCTCCAGGGGTCATTTCGCCGGGCGCCGTGGTGCTGAAGAACGCGAACGGCGTGGAGGCGCACGTCCTGCCCACCGGCGCTTGCGTGCAGCGCCTCCTCGTGCCAGACAGGGACGGCAAGGTCACAGATGTGATGCTGGGCTTCGAGGATGTAGAACAATACAAGGTGCGCCGCGGTCGCCTCTCCCGCCGTGTGCCGCCACCGCGCCATGCACCGGTCTGCACCGGCGCCGCCTTCACATGACAGTGTTTGCTACTCCCCCCCCCGCAGAACGGCACCAGCCCTTCGGGCTGCATCATGGGTCGCATAGGCGGCCGCACTTCGGGTGCCAAGTTCACGCTGGATGGCAAGACCTACAAGCTGGACGGGAACTCAAACGGCGGCAAGGACACCATCCACGGCGGCGGCATAGGCTACAACCGCGTCAAGTGGACGGTCGTCTACTCCAGCCCCACCAAGGCCAAGCTCAAATACACCAGCCCCGACGGGGAGCAGGTGGGGGCTTGCTCTCGCGCTGCAAGCTGGACTGGCTAGCCGATGCCGCTGCGGGCTGCTGCCGCGCCCAAGCGGCCCGAAGGGCTGGTGCTGCTGCCGCTGCTGGTTGACGGCGGCGCCGGGTGCCTCGCAGGGCTTCCCGGGGGCCCTTTCACTCCGCGTCACCTACAAGCTGACCGAAGAGAATGAGTTCATCATGGGTGAGCGGTATGCAGGAGCAACACCGAGCCGCAGCGTGCCCGCCCACCTCCCCTGCTTCGTGCTTGCCCGCGTGAGCTGCTGCCGCGCCGCCGCCGCAGACATCACCGGCACGACCACCAAGGCCACCCCGCTCTCCATCTTCTCCCACCCTTACTTTAACTTGGCTGGCTTTGCCGACAATGCCACGGTGCTGGACCACCTGCTGACCATCCACGAGGGGTGAGGCGCTGGGCGGGTGCTTTCTGGCAAGCCTCTGTGCCTCGTTGTGCTGCTTGCCTCCCAGCTCAGCGTTTCCTTCCTGCCATCTGGGAGGCGGCGCTGAAGCCGCAGCGGCTGGCGGGGCCCGCAGCGCCATGCTGCAGCGCCGCCGCCATAGGCGGAGAGCGTGGCTGCCCTGGGCCTGCCGCGGCTGTGCTGCAGAGACTATTACACGCCCACGAGCGGCAAGAGCGTGCCCACGGGCGAGATGGAGCCGGTGAATGGCACCGCCCTGGACTTCACCTCCCAGCACGCCATCGGCGAGCGCATCGACGAGCTGGCAGGTAGCAGGGGAGCCCCCCCCCAGCCCATGCTTGTGTGGCCATGCTGGTGGGTCACTGCTTCCTGCCGAGCCTGCAGGCGCTGTGCTGTGCTGTGTCATTCATGCGGCATTCGTAAGTCATCCCGGTGCCGCCAGGCCAGCCGCCTCCCTTCCTCCCACCGCCCGTCTCTGCCTCCCTCCCTCCCGCAGAGGAGGGCGGCTACAGCACGAGCTACGTGCTGTTTGGCAATGGGGCCAACGTGAAGAAGGAAGTTAAGGGCTTTGTGGCGGCAGACCCGTGAGCTGCTGCCACACGCGTGCTGCTTGCTTGCCTGGCTTGTGGGTACTTCGCGGCAGCATGCAGGGCCGCTCCCACCGCCTTGGCCGTGTGTTTTTGCCGCCTCTTCATGCAGGGCCAACTATGCCGCCACCCTGGTGCACCCAGGCTCTGGCCGCGGGCTGGACCTCCTGACCACCGCCCCTGCTCTTATGCTGTACACCGGTACGCTCCTTCACCTGCCCTCTGTCTTGCTGCGTGCAGCAGAGCCGGCAGCAGCGCGGCAGCAACGCGGGACAGCAGCGCCGCATGCCTGCATCGCCCATGGTGCCAGCCCCGCCACTGGCTAGGCGTGGGCAGAGGGGCCACCGGCCCCATGGGACAGGCAGGCAGGCACAGCTTGCCGACTGTGCGGCGGTATGTGTGAGTACAGGCAACGCCTTCTCCGGCAAGTGGAGCGGCAAGGACGGGGTGAAATACCAGAAGTGGGCGGCGGTGGCGCTGGAGACGGTACGTTGTTGGGTACCCACACTGGGTGCCAGCTGCGCGTGGTGCCCGCCCACCTCTGGGCTGGCCGCCACCAGCAGCATGCCAGCAGCAGGCATGCGGGCGTCCATGCGCGGCGCTCGTCGCTGCCGCCGCAGCTGACCGCGTGGCGCAAACAAGCGGTGTGAGCTGCCGGCTCTCAGTTGCTGCCGCCCTTCCTTGCCCCTGCTGCAGACGATGTTCCCTGATGCCATCAACCAGCCCACATTCCCCTCCAACGTGCTGCGCCCCGGCCAGCTGTTCCGCCAGACGACGGTGTGGCGCCTGTTCAGGGCCACGCGCGACGGCCGCGAGGACGGCACCCTGAGGAGCTGCGCGGCCGCCAGCCCCAACTGCAAGAAGTGCAAGCCCGGCAACGTGGAACGGTGCAGCGTGTGCAAGGTCACATACAAGCTGTCAAAGGGCAAGGCAAGTGACCCACCACCTGCAGGCGTCTGAACTGGACAGCTGACCAGGTGGCAGCGCGTGTTGGCTGTGTGCGCATGTGTGCATTCGGCGGCGGGTCCCCCTGTGGCGTGCCCACCTCATGCATCATCCGCGGCGGCCGCTGCGGCCCCCTCTCCTCCTGCAGTGCATCAAGCAGAAGGCGATGTAGCGCTCCATGTGGGGATGGCTGCAGGCTGGGCACGCAGGGCCTGCCGTTGTGGCAGCGGCGGGCACTTTGCACCCGTCGGCACCGGAACTGCGCGTCGCCAGCTGTGCACAGGGCATCCCACGCAGGCGAGCTGCCCAACGTTATCAGAAGCGCCTTTCATCATCATCATCTTGTTGGATGTTCCCGTTTTAAGCGGTTTTGAGGGCTTGTCAGGGAAGGAAATTGCCTCTGTAATGGGCCCGTCAACTGCAAATCTCGATACGCTCCTTCTCTTAAGGGGAGTCACAATTTTCCTAGCACCCTGGCGCTCTCAGTGTGCCACCATGAACGCCACTGGCAAGAAGGACCTCCACGCCGGCTTGGAGGGCATGGGAGCCGCGTTGCTCGTCACGTCCTCTCTGGTTCGGCTCCTCACGCGCCCCCAGGTGCACATCGGGCCCCGGATGTCGCGCTGGCGCTGGGGCCGAGGCCCGGCACCAAGGGGGCGGCACGCACTTGTTGCCCCCAGGCGGCAGCGAGCGCCGCCCGTCTGCGGTGGGTCAAAGACCCTACTAGCACGCCACCCCATGCAACATGCCGATCTGCCCCCCACCTTTTGTTCGCAGGCCGGGCTGGGTTTCTTGGCGCTCACGATGGCTTCTGCCCTGTCTGCTGCCCTGGGGCCCGCCGTCGCGCGCTACGCCCCAGGGTGGCATACACGCCATCGCACCGCGCTGACCCTCCTGCCTCGCCTCGCGCTGGTGGCGTCCTTCATCGCACCGACCCCACTCCCGCTGGAGGGCCCTTCCTCCTGCCCTGCCTTCCTGTGGCTGTGGCTGCTGTGGACCTCAGCGCCTCCCTTCTTCTTCACCTGCATCTCCCGCCTGCTGCCAGCGGGGTGAGAGCAGCTGCCGCGCCGCCACACACGGCGGGGTGCTCTGCCAGCTGTGTCCCCTTCACCTGCGCCGCTCATGCTGCCTGCGCATGCTCGAACCGCACCGCTTGCCTGCTGCTCCCTCCCCCGGCCCTGCTGCAGCATGGCTCTGGCAGCGGTGGCCCTGCAGCAAGCCGTGCTGGCATATTCGGCGGCCCGCCACTGCGCCGCGCTGCAGCTGGCTGGCCCTGGGGAGCCAGTGCGCGTGCATGCCACCCTGCTGGCCCTGGATCCCAACAGGTGCCTGGATGGCCTGGCCGCGGCCGCCGACTGGCCCTTCCACTTTGTGGCGCCGGGCGCGATGGCAGCTGTCAGCCTGTCGCCCCGAGCCGCCTGCCTGGCGGCCACGCTCTGGCTGCAGCTCGCCTCGGGCGCGCTGCTGCCAGCTGTGGTGCTGTGCAAATTCGCGGCGGCCAGGCCGCAGGGCGGCGACGCGGGCGGCAAGGCGCAGCAACGGGAGCACGGCGCCGCCGGGGCCTTGGCGGCGGCAAAGCTGGAGGTGGTGCAGTGGATGGCAGACCTGCCCTGGGCCTCCACCCTGTTTGCGGCGCAGATGTGCTGGATGGTGATCCGTACCGCATGCATGCTCTGGCTGCCTGCCTCGTGAGTGCCATAGGCGTAGCGCGTAGGCTTCTAACTTTGCCCTCACCAGTGTTCAAGCTGACTGCTTGCTTTGTCACTGTACAATGTACAACGCTCAAGCCCAGGCCCTGGGCCGGCCTCGGGGCCCTTGTAATACACTGCCCCGCCGTGCGTGGGGAGCATCCTGCCTTCCGCCCCGCCAGCCCTGCATATGAGTGCAAGCTGCGGGAAAGAGCACTGCCGTCCACTGCACCACCCCTCATCTGCTGCCATCGCATCTGAGCAGTACGTCAGCCCAGCCAGCTTTGTGAGCACTGCTACTTGTACCACAGTGCCGCCACTGCCGCCCGCCGCCTCCGCTACCTGCCGGTGGGATCTGCTGGATGCGTCTGCCCACTCACAGCGCACCTCCTGCATGCTTGTAAGCGCAGGCCTGCTCTGTGCGCGCTGGGGAGCCTGTGCAGCAAGGTCCAACACCTCTTGCTGAATTGATTGGCCCTTCCGCGCTCTCCCTCGCTTCTCTCAAGCACCGGGGAGGCCTTGAAAATTGTCCCCTAGAATGTGGGAGGTAGTGGACCAAGCCCGGGCTGGAAGCTGCGGGAGAGCTGCCACTGGGGAGGCCCCCCCCTAAATTGAGAGCTCTACAGCTTGCATCCAGTTATTTGATCGTTTTTCATCACCGCTCGCTGTGTTGCATCTCTATCCACCGCTGAACGAAGTCTGGGGCTTCGCCTCCCCATTGTCGGAGTGAGTTGCTCACGCCGCACACCGCTTACGCTGCAATAAAACCCACTAACCTGCACTCTCACCTGTCTCTGCAGCGGGGTGCCGCCGCTGCCGCTATCCCGTTGCTATTGCTCCAGCTGCCGCCGCTGCCGCTTCCCGCCGTATACCCTTGCATGTGTTGCCCGCTGATGTGGCACCTCCCCCGATTCGTCTGGCTCATCAGGCACGCTCTCTCCCGCGATCCCTCCCTTTCCTTCGCCTTTCAGAGTCTCTAAGGCTTCTATTTCTCCCCTCCCGCACCCCGCAGCTGCCGCAAATTTAAAATTATGAACCAACCTGTCATCCTTTATGCCTTAGAGCGGCGCCAAAACGCCACCACGAACGGTTGCCCAATCGGGAGGGTGCCACATCAGGGGGCAACACATGCCCTCCTGACGTCTTCTCCTGCCTCGCTTGGCACACTGCAGAAACCCTCGGTCCCGCCACCACGCCATGCCCCTCTTCGGCTTCCTCGCCAGCGGCCCCAGCGGCAAGCTGCACGCCGCAGCCGCCAGGGGCGACGCCGCCGCGGTGCGCAAGCTGCTGGCGGGCGGCAAGCACCCCGACAAGCTCAGCAAGGACAGCAGCAGCAGCTGCGCGCTGGCGCTGGCCGCCGCCGCCGGCCACCTGGGAGCCGTGGACGCGCTTCTCGAGGGCGGGGCCAACGTGAACCAGCGCGACGGCGGCAACGACACGCCCCTGCTGGCCGCGGTGGCCGCCGGCCAGGTGGCTGCGGCGCAGCGGCTGCTCCAAGCAGGCGCCGACCCGACGGCTGCGGGGGCCAACCACCTGACCTGCCTGCACAAGGCGGCCGCGGAGGGGCAGGCAGCCCTGGTGCCGCTCCTGGTGCGGGCCGGGGCGGCGCTGGAGGCGCGTGCCGGCGGCGGCCGCACCCCGCTCCACGTGGCCATGCAGGCCGGCAGCGCGCCCGCGGTGGCGGCGCTGCTGGCGGCCGGCGCCGCGCCGGACAGCCTGGATTCATCCAAGCTCGCCCCGCTGCTGCTGGCGGCCCAGTGGGGGCGTGTGGAGGCCATCCAGGCGCTTGTGCAGGGCGGGGCCGCCCTTCTGCCGCCCGCCTGCGGCACCACGCCCTTCCACCAGGCCGCCGCCTGCAACCAGGCCGCCGCCATCCACGCCCTGGCCGCCGCCGCACGCCAGCTGGACCTAACGGAGGGCCCGGCCGCGCGCAACGGCGCGGGGCGCACCGCGCTGCACGTCGCCGCCTCGAGCGCTGCACCGGATGCGGCGGCTGCACTGCTGCGGCTGGGCGCGGAGGTGGACGCCCGCGACCGGCAGTGCCAGACGCCGCTGCACCGCGTGGCGAAGTGCTGGGATCGGGAGCATGCAGAGGCGTGTCTGGGGGTCGTCGAGGCGCTGCTCGAGGCGGGCGCAGACCCAGAGGCTCAGGACAAGAAGGAGGCCTCGCCGCTGTCCCTGGCCAGTGCCCGCCACCTGGAGAAACTGGCGGGCAGGCTGCACAAGGCGGTCGGCAAAAGGCAGGAGGCGCGGGGGGCGCTGGCAGGTTGGGGGATTCCGGAGAGGCAGCGCTGGGGTGTGCCAGGGGGTTGCGTTGGGCTGCCGGCTGGCTGGCTGCGGGCAGGGGGTGGAGGGCGGAGAGTGGAGGGAGGAGGGGCCCTGTCTGTGGCCTGGGGCCCGCTGTGCTTCGCATGCACTTCGATGCTGGCCTGTTCCAGCAGCGGCTGCTGCCTGCGGCTTTTGCGCGCCTCTACTGCTTGGTCTGCTCCTGATCCCTCCATGCACACTCACACTCACACTCACACGGCGCCCCACCTCCCGCTCCCCTGCAGCCCTCTTCAAGGATCTTCAGGAACATGCCTGCCACGGCAACCTGGAGGCCGTGCGGGCCGGCCTGGCCGCCGCCGGCAAGGACGCCGACGCGGTGCTGCGCATGGGCGACAGCCAGGGCGCCACCCTGCTGCACATGGCGGCATCCGGCGGCCACGCGGCGCTGTGCCAGGCCCTGGCGTCTTCCGGGGCCGACGTGGGGGCGCGCGTCTCGGACGGCCGCACGCCCCTGCACGCCGCGGCCGGCAGGAGCCTGGGGCGGCAGCGCCCCGCGTCGGACGAGGCGCGGGTGGCCACGATCCGGGCGCTGCTGGCGGCGGGCGCCGACGCCGAGGCCGCCGCCGCCGCAGGGCGCACGCCGCTCATGGAGGCAGCTGCGGCGGGCGAGGCCATGGCGGCCAAGGCCCTGGCCAGGGTGGGGGCCAGCCTGGAGGCGTGCACGCCTGCTGGGCGCACCGCACTGCACCTGGCCGCCGTCGAGCGCAAGTCGTGGGTTGTGGAGGCGCTGCTCGAGGCCGGGGCCAGCCCTGCTGCGGCAGACCGTGACGGCTACACCCCCCTGCACCTGTCGTACAAGGAAGGCGAGACCCCCATTGACGAGCTGGTTGAGGCGGCAGCAGCGGCGGGCCGCCTGGATGCCCGCACCGCGGCGGGCCAGACGACCCTGATGCTGGGCGTGGCCGACGCCAGCTGGGCCTGGCACTGGGGTGAGCGCTGGGCTGGCGCCGCCGGTACCGCTGCCGCTGCCGTTGCTGCTGCCTGTGTTGCTGCGTGTTGCCGTGTGCCTCATTCTGCCGCTGCTGTCATGCCCTGCTGCTGCTACAAGGCATGCTGCCAAGGCATGCTGAGGCTACCAGCACCGCCATGCCGCCAGCCCCACCGCCGCCGACCCTGCCCGCTGACACCGCCGACCTCGCTGTCTGCCATGCAGCCCGCAGCCTGCTGCGCCCGATTGACCTGCCCGGCGCGGACGCCACCCTAGCTGACCACGCTGGCAACACCGCGTTGCACCACTGCCTGCTGGGCGCCAATCCGGATGCTGTGGGCGACTATGATGCCGAGCGGATTGGCTACGCGTTGGAGGAGCTGCTGCAGTACGGCGCAGACCCAGACGCCGCCAACCAGGCGGGGCAGACACCCCGCCAGCTGGCGGCACGCATGGGGCTGACTGCTGCGCTGGACAAGGCGGCGGCCGAGGCGGCGCAGATGTGGCAGGGGCAGCAGTTGGCGGCAGCCGTGGCCGCCGCGGCTCCAGGCGGCTGTCTCTGTTGGGCTGGGGGGGCGCTGCTGGATGCCGCTGTATGGCGAGAGGGCAGCTTGAGGAGGCATGGGTCAGGACGTATGGCCCTTTGGCAGCGCTGTGGTGGGCGTGTGTGCTGGCCGCCGGAAACCTGCCAGCTGTCACCGGCCCCCTGGCCAGTCTTGAGGCTGGCGGTGCATCCTTCTCTCCACACCCACACCTCCTGTGCCCTTCCTTGCTCCCCAATCCCGCAGGCGTTTACATCGCGCCGCATGTGCAGCTGGGGCCTGGGTACATTGCGGCCGTCAGCGCTGCCAGCGCGCAGCCAGGTCAGCAGGGCGCCGGCTGGGCCGCGGGCCAGGATGGCGCGGCTGCGGCGGCACAGCTTGCTGGCAAGCTTTCCCTGGTGTGAGGCAACTGGCACTTCCACCCTGCCGACATGCATACCGACTCTGACCTCCTTCTGACCACCTCCCGCTCCACTGGCGGCCCACCGACCGATTTCATTTCTGCTGTACTCAGTACATTGCATCAGTTGATTGCTTTGTTCCCCTTTTTTTGATTACTTGAGCTTAGAGCGGCTCATGCGGAGGCAATTGGATGCAATGCTTTCCTGATGCGTCACACAAGTGTGCGCACCCCCCTCGTGCAAAACCAAAATCAAGTACATGTAACACGCACGCGGGTGCTTGCTGGCCTTCTTGACCGCCGCCGCTACCGTTCTGTTGTTGCATGGCTTGCCCAGCCGGCGCTCTGGGGCCAGGCCTGATGCGGCTGCCGCCTTAGCCGCCCGCCGACCGTGGCGGCACGCGCGGCAGCAGGTGCAGCAGGCAGTGCAGCCAGTGGTCGGCCAGGCGCTGGCGCACCTCCTGGGAGGCTGCGTGGGTTGCTGCCTGCTTGGCATACACGGCGTGGTGCTTCTTCAGCCGCCAGGTGCGCGATTCGTAGTCATAGCTCGCCTCGACATCCCCCTGGCCCTCCTGCCCGCGGTATTCCCGGATCCTGCATCAGCCCAGGCACCAGCCAGCACGCGTCGCGCAGTCCTAAACAGCAGGCGGATTGGGGTCTCTCTGGCTCCGGCCGAAGGGCGTTCCAGCGCAGCTGGCGGCGGCTGCTCTCACTGGTGGGCGCAAGGCCAGAGGTGTTTCCACGCCTCAGTGCCTGGATCTGTCAGGGAGGTCTCCCTCTCTGCAGGATCCTCCAGGAACGCCAGCAGAGCAAGGCAGTCAAGGGCATTTGGTTGGACTGGCTACCCCCAGGGTGCACCACGCTTGCAAGCAGATGCCCTGCGCAGGGTCAGCTGTGAGCGCGAGGCTCCTGCTCCCAGCTGCCCCACCTTGATGGCAAAGCAGGCGGCGCACAGGTTGGAGGCATCGCTGCACTGCGCCGGGCACGGCTTGCTCCAGTCCTGGGGCTCGACTGCAGCAGGGGAGCTGTGACATTCATCAGATGCATGTCAGAAAGCAGTACAGTGCAGGGAGCAGCACCTGGGGCTCGCCCAATCCTGGCCACGCTCTCGGCAAGGCACCAGCTGGACAGCTTGAGCAGGGACGGGGATACTGCAGGCAGAGGCGAGGATCAGTCACAATCTGGATGCCTGTTCCAGAGGCGCATTTTGCTGCAAACACGCAGGCGAGGAAAACGCCCGGGCTTGCCTGCCATCGCTGCCGGGCCCAATGCTGTCTCCACGGCCAGGCACCCATCGAGCACCTGGGAAGTATCAGACTCCCTTGTGGAGTATGTGATGATGCGGCCAGAGGTGGCAGCAGACACCAGGAACCTCAGAGCCAGCTCAGCCTCTGCACAAGCACGCCTTTGCGCCCCGTCAGCTCATGCCAGTGGGAAGGCAGGCGCCGGTGCTGGGCTTGCACCGCGCAGTGCAGGCGAGGTGCATTCACTGGCTCATGCGGCGTGCGTGGGCCGCACATGCAGGCAGACGAACAGACGCGCGGCGCCGGCTCACGTGGCGACTTGATCTTGTGAAGCGCCACCAGCAGGCCTGGCAGCCACTTGAGGTCCTGGTACTTCTGCATGCGGGCACAGCACAGACAACAAATCTTATCGTCAGTGCACAAATGCATGAATTGATGCCTCCCAACATCCTCTTGTGCCAGTGAACCCTGCCAGCTGATCTCCTGGTGCCAGCTGACGTCTTAAGGTTGCTGCTCTGCTGCCACACATGCCTGCCACTTCTTGCACTTCACGTAGATCAGTTTGGCCAGCAGCAGGGCGAGGTTGCCGAGGAACTTTGCTGCAGAGGCGGGTGCCGTGCACTGGCCGGCTGCAGCACACGGCAGGGGAGCCGGGCCCCAGCACAGCCCTGGCGCCTCCTCAGGGGCAGGTAGGCAGGCTGGCAGGTGGGTAGGCAGGTAGGTAGGCAGGCAGAGGGCCAGGGGTGTAGCCCGCACCTGCGACCACCAGCTCTTCCAGCAGCGCCACATTGCTGGCCATCTTGTAGTCAACGGTGCTCATCATGTTGATCAGAGGGGCGTGCCACTCGGCAGGGAAGCCAAAGTGAGCTGCCGCGTGAGCGACAGGCCTCCGCAGCTCAGCTTCGTTGCTCTTCCTGCACCGGCCGGGAGCATTGGCGTTTACAGCACTGCTAGGCTGCTAGGCAAGCAAAACGCTTGGCTCCCATGCTGCAGTGTGCAGTAACAGCCCAAGCAGCCTGCCTCACTCACCCTGGGCTGCTTTCAGCAGGTTGGATGCCAGGTCAGCACTGCCAAGCTGAGTCGCCAGCTGCAACATCACTGCTGTATTCCACACATACACATACGCCGTCCTGGCGCCCGACTCTGCGAGGCAAATCATGCAAGCCAGGATGCCGGGGTTCAAGGCGGGATGGCACCAGCTCTGGGCAGGGTAGCGCATGAGGCAACTGTGGCAGGGGCCTGCAGCGAGCTCGCTGGCTAGCTAGCCAGCATCGCCATGGCAATCATCTGGCATCAGCTGCGCCTCCTCCAGCACCTGAAAGGTAGTGGACGATGGCGGCTGCCAGCTCGGCGGGCGTGGCCTCGGGCTCCGGGCCCCAGTGCCTCCTGCCCTCCCTGTCCTCCTGCCGCCGATGCGCGCTCTCCACAAGCATCCCCATCTCGTAGTCGCCGCTGCTGTAGCCCTCATATTCCTCCGCCTCGCCCGGCTCAGCCTCCTCCTGGCGGGCCAACTTGAGCAGGTGATCCAGTGCCTGATGTGCAGGCTGGTCCTGCGTCACCTCCCCGCCACCCTGCCCCTCTTCAGGGTTCTGCACCGCAGCCAGCAGGGATCATTTGAACCAGAACAACGGCATAACACTTGCAGGCTACACACCCTCTCCGCACCTTGCCTGCCCTCTGTGTGGCGTGCTGGCTCCTGCAGCTGCCCAGCGGCCCGCCCTCACCAGCATCGCAAGCAGGCGCAGCACTTGGCAGCTGCAATCGGCGGCGACGGTATTGAGCAGGCGCTTGGAGCGGGGCCAGAAGACGATGCCTACGCGGCGGTACCACCTGCGGTACAGCACCGGTAGTGCGGTAGACGTCGTGAGAGATGCAGGCCGATGGCAGCGGGCAGGGAGCTTGGCGGGGTCACAGATGGAGTGCAACGCTGTCCCACGGCCCCCATTGTGGCATCCAGCATGCCAGGAACCTCTTCATGTAGGAGCCCTCGTTGCCAGCAAACTGCCCCCTGGCCTGCAAGCAGGCATCACAGGGCACCGTGGGACCAGGGCCGCCACCATGCTAGCCGGGCTCTCCTGGGCTTCCTTCCCCGCAGCTTCATGGCATAGCTGCTGAGCCCGCTCCTCTCCCACCCTCCCACCCGCGCACCTCGTCTGGCGCCATGGCCCAGTAGCTGCCGCCATGCACCAGCTCCGTCCCAGGGCTCAGCGACAGGCTGCTGAAGGCCGGCGCCGGCCCCGCCAGGACCGCCCATTGGGAGGCCTGCCAAAGGGCGCGTTGGCAAACGTCGGAAACGGCTGCTCGTTCGGCGCCCATTCAACCCAAAGTGGAAGTACAAGGACAAGCGGGTGGGGTCCCTATGCGTGCAAGGCATATGCGGCGCTGCCCTACCCACCCTGACGTCCTGCACTTGCTCCACAAACTCCACCTCCTCCTCCTCTGCCTCCATAGCATCATCCTCGTCCATGGCGCCCTGGGTGGTGACGCGCGTGACGAGCGCCAGCGAGGCGTCCAGCTCAGCGCCGCCGCCCGCCCGGCCTGCCGCCAGCAGCAGGTGCGCGACCGCGCGGTCTGCGCCCTTCAGCGCATCCACGCCGCGCTTCTCTAAGGACTCTTGGCTGTACCTGCACATGTGCATGCATTGCCAGGTCGAGGGAGGGAGCAAGGGAGGGAGCCAGGCAGGGATGGCGAGCATGGGTGGCAGGCTGCGGCCACTGCTGGATGCCACGGCGGCACCTGCACCCCGCGGCTGCGTCGAGCGGGCGCATGCAGAACACTGACACCTCCCCCATTCCCTCCCGCTGTTGAGCAGGTGGCAGAAGCGGCGGCGGAGTGTGGCTGGAGCGCTGCGCCCGTACGCCCACCTGTGCTCCAGCATGAAGCAGAGCTTTGCGGGGCCCTTGGCATTGGCTCCCCAATGCCGCACCAGCTCCGCCACTCGCGCCACCGACGGGTCGCCTGCAGCACAGCGCCGCAGGAAATAAGGCGAGGGCGTGGCGTTCGGGCTGGGCACGGCGCCAGGTGCAGTCCTCTGCTTCGGGTCTGTGCCGCAGGCGCCCAAGAATGCAGACAGGCTGCGACTCCCACAGGCAAGCAAGCACGCCGCGATTCCGGCAGCCGGCCGCACCTGGCGGCAGCTGTGGCGGCGGGGGCCCCTGCCCAGAGTAGACCAGATTGCAGACCAGGGCCAGCCTGTGGCCCTCCGTGACCGGCAGGATCTCGTGCTCACAGTCTGCGGCAGCAGGGCAGGGAGGAGTGGCGTGCCTGCACCGTTCTTCCAGGTATCAAGTCACGGCGCCGTAGCAGGCACCTCTACACGGCTAAGATGCAAGGCGGTCCAGGCTGGGCTGGATGGCAGCGAGGCGGCAGCAGACGCGAGCTCAGGCGCGGAACGAAGAGGGCCGCAAGCCTACCGGCGTAGAAGGCGGCAAAGCAGGAGCTGGCGGCATTCCTGGCTGCCAGGTCCAGGCAGACCTCCTTGCCGGCGTGGCGCACCACCAGCTCGCCGCCCTGCACGGCGGCAGGGGCGCGGCAGGGTGCGGGCAGGTTGTGGCGGGAAGCGCAGCAGGCCGAGACAGTTGCCTGAAGCTGCGCTGCAAGGTGTTGCCTCACACCGCAAGCATCCAGCCTGTGCAGGAAGGGACACTGTCAGCTCTGCCGGCCCGCCGCCGCCCCACCTGGTACCGCGAGGGCAGCATCAGGGTCAGCGTGCCAAACATCCCCTCTGCCTTCTCCGTGTCGCGGTGCGGCTGCAGGGGCGAGGCGGGAGAGGGCCAGGCACAGGCGGCAATGGCTTAGCCATTCCCTCGCTCGGCGCTGCCCAGACACAAGGCGACCGCGCCTGATCCACCGGCAAAGTGCGCGCGCTAATGCGAATGTTGCACTGGCACAGGCGCCTGCGGCTCACCAGAAACTTGCTGCCAGCTTCATACAGCAGGAGCTTGTAGAGTTGAGCCTCCACCTCTGCGCCACAGGGGGCAGGCTAGCCGCTGAGCGAGGGCCAGGGCATGGCAAAGGCCTGGCATTGTGGAAGATGTGGAAAGCGAGCCACAAAGCTGGCGTCTGCAGCACGCCGCAACAACCTACCGCCACAGGCGCTCACCAACCAACCTGTGTCGGTGCTGATGCCCAGTGTGGCCTTGGTGTGCCGCACCGCCTCCGCCACCACCTCCTCCTGCCACCCTGCAGCAGCAAAGTTTCCAAGGGAAGGAAGAGGCTCACTGTCACAGCCACTGAGAGGGAAGGGCAGGCCCTGAACATGAAGGACGGGGCTGTAACATGCACCAGGGCGCGGCGGCGCGGCGGCGGCGGGAAACCTTGGACGCACGCTCGCTGACTGTGAACTGCGCGGGCTCGCACTGCCAGGTGTGGCGCACTGCTGGGTCCACGACCGTGTGTTCCCCCTTCCCGTAGGGAGCCATGGTGCAGAGCTGCTTGAGCTGCTCGGCCTGCTGGTCGCCCAGGGGGAGCCTCAGGGCGCCCAGGCCGGCCACCGTCAGGCCTGCAGACAGGCGCCCAAGCTGCCCAGAACAGCAGAAATCCGCCACTGGCCGCCCAGCGCTGCCACTGGCCTCTGCCTCGGCCTTGCTCAGCAGCTCATACAGCTGCTTCTGCAGCGTGGGGGCGCCGGAGGCTGCCATTGTGAGCCAGGGCATGCACAACCAACCGGAGAGAGACCCCTGCGGCGAAGAAGCCAGGCGGCGGTACATGGATGTGCGCCGCAGTCCCATTAATGAAGCGCTAAGCATGCCTGAGCTGTAGTTATGCAGGCTCATGAGATGGGCGATTTGCCGACTGCTGAGCAAGGCGAAACGCTATGGGCGGCATAGCATGTGTGGGCGGCGGCGGCGGCGGCGGGCTGCGTGCTCTGGAGAGTGGCGTGCGATGCCATTTACGGCATCATGCAGCCAGTGCGGCACAAGCCAAAGGCGAGGTATCGCTGCGTGCTCTCAGGGCCCGTGAATCAAGGGAGCAGAGGAGAGCGCCACGGCGCCCGGCAGGCCATCATCTGGGGCCTATCCCAGGGCTGCCCAGCACTGGGCAGGTCTCTGCTGAATTTCCCACCGACCAGGGTTGCTCAGCACCCCGGGGGCAGTGCTGGGCGGCGCTGGTGCTGGGCAGCGCTGGTCACCGCCGCCACTCAAGCGCTAACGGGGCGCTGGCGCTGCCCACAAGCGCCCTGTTCGCGCTGCATGTGCAGAACTTGCGCTGGGCAGTGCATGTTTGGTGGGGAATTCAGCAGAGCCCTGCCCAGTGCTGGGCAGCGCTGGGTTAGGCCCCAGATGCAGCTGGCGCCCCGCCAGCGGGGCACGTGCATTACTCGAAGAGACGAAGCAAACAGCATGGCCGTCTCTTTGAGAAACGCTCCCCCTTCACAGAATTTAACATTTAGAAGGCCATAATTAAATTCCGCGCCATGGCCACGGAGGGGCGTGGTGCGGCGCTGCTCGTGCTTGCGTCTCTTCTCAGGGCGTGGACGCGACCAGAGGTGGGGGCGAGCGCATCATGCGCGTGGTCGCCCCTTTGGCGTGTAGGGTTTCCGCCTCCCGCCGTTTGCCGCCGCTCCGCCCGCTCGGCGCGCTGCGAGCCCCTAGCCCCAATTGGGTCACATGTCAGGCAACGTGCTGCACATAAGTCACATGTCAGGCGCCGTGCTGCACACCTAGCGATGAATGCCAGGCGCTCCCCTCCCGGTGGACTCTACCCTTTGGTGATTGCCGCTGCTGCCGCCACCCTGCCCTTGCAGGCCGAAGCCCGCTTCCGCACCGTCATGCTGGCCCTATCGCTGCTGGCGGCCCTGGGGCCCCTCATCCGCCTCTGCAGCCCCGCCTGGTACCGGCGTCGGCGCAACGGCCTGCTGCTGTGCATCCGCCTGGCCAGCCTGTGCCTGGCCTGCGTGCCGTACCCGATCCCAGAGGGCACCCCCCACTCCTGCGCCGCATTCCTCTGGACCTGGCTGCTCAACTCTCGAGTGCCGGCCGCCTTCTTTGGCTGCCTGGCGTGGACGCTGCCGGCGGGGTGAGGCCTGCATGGCAGCAGCATAATTTTTGCATGACTTCAGCCCCTGAGTTGTTGAGCCCAGGGGCTGCCCTGCCCTGCCCGCTTGCCCCGCCCCGCCGCAGGACGACCGCCTGGGTGCTGCTGCTGCAGCAGGCGGCGCTGGCGCACGTGGCTGGCTTCCGCTGCGCCGCGGCGCCGCCCGACCCGCCGCCCGACCAGCAACAGCACGCCCACAGCTCCACCCTGCTGGCTCTGGACCCTGGCAGCTGCCTGGAGGGCCTGGCCTCGGTGCTGGACTGGCCGCTGCAGCTGGTGGATCCTGGAGCGCGGCGGGGGCGCGCTGTCGCCCCGCGCAGCGTGCATGGCCACCACGCTGTGGGCGCAGTTTGTGGGGGCAGCCCTGCTCCCCACGGTGCTGCTCTGGGCGCTGGACGACTCGCCGGCCGGCACGGCGGCAGCCCCTGCTGGCCAGGCAGCTGTGGCGGTCGGCACCCTCGCCGGCGAGGCAAGGCGTGCGGTTGACCGCGGCGGCAGCACGGCAGCGCAGCAGCAGCGGCGGCGGTGCGGCAACGCCGGCGCCGCAGGCGGCTCGCTTGTGGCGGTAGCGGTGGCCAAGTCACCGCTTGCGCTGTGGCTGGCCGATGTGCCCTGGGCCTCCACCCTGTTTTTGGCGCAAATGTGTTGGCTGCTGGTCCGCACCGCCTGCATGCTCTGGCTGCCCGCCTCGTGACGCTGCTGGCCGTCCTGCTGAAGCGCGTGTGACTGGCCCTGCTGCTGGGACGTTGTTGTTACCCATGGCCCCATGTGTTGCCATTATGCCGCCCGTCCAGCGGCTCGTTGGCAGCCGCGAGGCTTCACCCAGATTTTTTTTATCCATCTCATTCATTGCAATTCAATCTCATTCATTGCAATTCATGCTACCAATGCTACCATATGTACTCTTCGCGTTTTGTTTGCACCATAACATGCCTTAATCGATGCCACCACGTGTAGCCTGCCCCTCGGCCATGATGTAGAAATGCTTACAGGATAGTTGGGGAGCAAGGGAAGAAAACGAAGCATGAAATGTCTGCTGTCGGCAGCTGGCCGCAGCATCGCAGGAGGAGTGTGTGCGTCAACTCACTGCCACACCATCCACCCCGCGCCCCGGCTCGGTCGCAAAGCGTGGCGAATCCTCCACATCAGCAGCAAACCGTACCGCCTGGGCCGCCACGTCCCACACAGCGCCCTTGTACTGCCTGCACCAGAACAGCAGGTAAGGTGCAGGAGGGATTAGGCAGGGGCAAGCAGCCGTTGACGGCACTCCGGGCATGCCGCATAGCGCAAAGCAGCGACAGCAGCCCACGACAGAACAGCAACGCTGGGGCCCCCTCCTCACCGCAGGCTCCAGTTTTCCGCATACACCAGCTCAAAGCCGGGCGCTCCGACCCGCGGCAGCAGCGGCAGCCACACCTGCAGCGGCACAGCGGCCCGGCAGCACGGGATGGGCTTGAAATTATGCAGGGCTGCCGCAGATGCCTGCTGGCTGCCTGTTGGTGGCTCTCGCCCTCGTCCATGCATGCATCATCCCCTGCTGCAGTGCAGCCCCAGGCGCAGCACCGCAGCCAAGGCACACTCACGTAGCTGGCTCCTCCCACAGAGCCTCTGCCCTGCTCGTTCCAGCGGTCGCCCATCCACACCAGCACCTCGGCGCCGTCTTGGAAGGTGTATGTGAAGATGTGGGTGGACTGCGAGTCGTAAGTGGTCCCCGCCAACGGGCCGTGCGCCGGCGCGGGCAGCAGCCGCCAGAAGGTGCTGCACATGCCGCCGGCGGTGGACTCGTGCAGTATGGGCGGGTTGGGAGCCCAGCCTGCGGCGCCCAGCGGCGAGGCATGACCAGCGGGGGCACCAGCAGGGTGGGAGTGATTACGGCAGCCCAGCGCGGGAAGGCAGGCACTGGTCGGCAAAACCCTGCCTAAGCTTTCCAGCATCGGGTGGCCTCGTGCCCAGACACCCACACCCACACCTGTCAAGTGTGAGGCAAAGATGTAGTGCCTGCCGCTGTGCCTGAACACCGCCGGGCCCTCTGCCCCCAGCCCGGTCTGCAACCAGGCAGCGCAGGCGCGCGGCGGCGGTCGGCAGGCAGCCGGGCAGCCGGAACGGCACACCAAATAACAGCCAGCTGCATGCCACAGGCAGGTGGGCCCCCTGGGCCGCAGCCTGCCCACCCACCCGGGAGCAGATGGAGCCAGCGGTGGCCAGCCAGTCTGGGCGCAGCCGCGACACTGCTATCGTCATCACAGGGCAGCTGCAGGCAGGCGTGTGCGGACAGGCGAGGACAGCAGGCCAGGCGGGCACATGGGACTCCTGCTGGGCGAATGGCTGGTACAGCCGGCCAGGTGGAAAGCACTTGGGAGAGCAGCCAACGCAGGGATGCCTCCGAGCTGGCCGCCCGCCCTTCGACAGCGGCAGCGCCGCCTCGCTCCCCACCTGCGCACGAGGTAGGCCTGCCCCGTGCCCGGCTCCTGCCACACCGTCATGTCGTAGCTGGTGTTGTTGTCTGGGAAGAAGTGGTGCAGCCAGCGGTAGGGGCCTGCAGGGTCGGCGCGCAAGCATGGGGCAGAGGCAGCAGGCGGCGGCAGGTGGAGGGCAGCGGCGCGCACGGCTGGCGTGCGTGCCCCGACAATGTGCTTGCACGGCGCATGCCTGCGCCCTCGCCCGAGTCCACATCGCACGCCGCCAGCAGCGCCGCGCCGCCGCACCCGTGATGTTGGGGCTGATGGCGACCCCCACAGCGGGCACCTCGAAGCCAGGGGTGTCCAGATGGAACATGAGGATGTAACGGCGGCGCCGCACGTGGTGCAGGATCTGCGTGCATGCAGGGGCGGGGCGGGGTGGGGCAGGCTGACGCCGGTGGCGGCGACAAGCCAATGGCTGCGTGTGTGTGCCCACGCGGCCGCCACGACTGACGCCGATGGGCAGCAGCAGCTGCGGTGCTGTAGCTCTCACTGAGGTGGCGGCACACCCGGCACAGCGCCGGCACCGCACCTTGGGCCGCTCGATGCGGTATGGCGGCGGCGGCTGCCACAGGTGGCCGTAGGGCAGGCGCCGCGGGAAGCCCACAATTTGCTGCCACCGGAAGATAACGTTCCTGCACATGCCATGCGGGGGGGTGCCTACTGATGCAGCAGAGATGATGCATTCCAACCTCGCCGCCTCCCTCCTTCCCTAGCAGCTGGCACACCAGCCTGGGACCGCACCTGAACTGCCAATTCTGCAGGTCGGTGCTGCTGTAGATGTTGATGTGAGTGGATGTCCAGGCCGGCAGCACCTTTTGAGAGGTCCCCACCCAGTAGAAAGTGGATCCCTCCTGCAGCAGCTGCCCGCCGTGTGCGTGCACCTGCGCGGCGGCAGCAGCAAGGCCAGGCGGCGGGAAGTGGCGGCGGCGGCAGCGGCGGGGAGCCGGATGTGCACGCGACTCCTTCCGAAGGCTTCGTGCGCACCTCCTTGCCATCCTCGTCCAGCGGGAGGCCCGTGCCCTGCAAAGAAATGACGGTGTCTTCGACCGAGCTGCTTTGGGCCAGGACTGGCAGCACCAGGAGCCATAACAGCAGCATGGCCATAGTGTGCGGCGATGGAGTGGCCCTGGGCGTTTCGGGAGATCAATTTTGGCAGTGTCGGCCACGTGGGGTGGGGTGGGACGTGGCGGCCTGGAGAAACGAGACTTGCGGCTCATCAAACCATCGGCGGTACCTGCACCCCTTCACAAACACCCCTGACTCGCCTGCGTCGAATGGCGGCGCCGGGGTTTGCCCGAGCACCTCCCGTCGCCAGGCTTTGGACTCGCTCCCCCTGCAGGCTACCAGCACTGAGAGCCGAATCCTCGTCGAACACGCAGCGTGCCATCATGGCCAGGGGCAGCGCGGCCGCCGCCAGCGCTGGCAGCGCTGCCGCCGTCGCCCATCTGGAGGCACTGCAGCACCGGCTGCAAGCGGAGGCCGATGCAGAAGTCAAGGTGGGCCAAGACGGTTACTTCAAGGGCGTCATTTTCCATCGTGGGGTCAAGACGCCGGCCGTGGAGGCCGTGTGCAAGGCGTTTTTGAAAGAGGTGGCTGCGGAGCCGGCCGGGCTGCGGCAGCTGGGCCTCGCGCTGCTCCGTCAGCCGCTCCAGGAGGACAAGCTGGCCGGCATGCTTTGCTGGAGGCAGTGCCTGCTGGAGGCGGGCTTGGCGGAGCAGTGGCGGGAGGAGCTGCGTGCGCTGCAGCAGATTTACACCGATGGCCACGTCTTTGCCTGGTCCACCTGCGACTGGATCTGCGGTCGTCTGCTGGCTCCAATGATCAAGCTGCTGCTCAAGAGCGAGCCCGCTCAGGGAGAGGCATGCGCCTCGCACGTGCTGGCCTGGTGCCGGCACGACAACCTGTGGCTGAGGCGCTCCTCAGTGGTGGCTTTTGTGACCATGGCCAAGCTGCCAGACGACAAGGCGAGTTGTCTCCATGTGCCGGGCTGCAGCCTGCTTGCGTGCAGCAGCAGCGGCGGCAGCAGCAGGCGCCGCGATCGGCCCCGTCCTTTTGCCAGTGACGCGCTGCCCCGCACGGATGCTTAGACTGCTGGGCCGTGGGTTTGGCCAGTGCAGGTGTTCCCCGGCTTCCGCGCCAGCCTACTTGATGCCCTGGCAGCCACGGTGCGGGGAGAGGAGCGCTTTGCCCAGGTGCGGCGGGGCGGCTGGCAGAGCCCTCATTGGCATGCCAGGCTACCTCCAGGCTTGGCTGGCCTGCCGGCGGGTTGTGAAGTCCTGTGTTGAGGCCAGGCGAGCCATGCATCATGTACGAGAGACATTTCCCCCTCGACTCTTGACACACATGGCACCCTCTCCCCCCCTGGATCCTGGCTGCCCCCTGCAGACTGGCACGGGCTGGGTTCTGCGGGAGCTGGGCAAGGGCGACTCGCCGTGTATGCTGCAGGTGTGTGGGGCATTCTGAGGGCGCGTCCTGCATGCTGCCGCACCCTCTTCATTACATCCAATGGCCTGGGCCTGGGCCTGGGCCTGGGCCTGCCCGCCCACATGCCTGCCTGCCCGCCTGCTTGCCTGCCTGCCTGCAGTTTGTTGGGGCCAACCTGGAGCACTTTTCCCGCGAGGGCCTGCGGTACGCTCTTGAGCACCAGCCGGCGGCGGTGCGGCAGCCGCTGATGGATCGGCACAAGGAGCTGGTGCCCATGCAGCGGCAGCAGCAGCAGCAGCAGGGAGAGGCAGACGCATCCCGGCCGGCTGCCGCGAGGCGCGGTCGGCGGAGGCAAGATGTGAAAGATGCGGGACTGGAGCAGGACGCAGATGGAGAGAAACAGGCTGCGGCAGCCAAGCGCCGCAGGAGGAAAGAATGATGGGCGCGAGGGCTGATGGCTCTGATGCCCCTTTGCCGATCAGCGCTCGACTGACCAGGCACCTGCCCCCTGTGCCACTGTGGTTCTCAACGTAACAGGTGGCGCAGTTTCTTGCAGTAACAGCTTGCAGCCCAAGATCACAGGCAGGCATGGAAACACAGTAGGGCAGGGCACGGAGCAGAGGGCGCTACACAACTGGATGCAAGAGAGGGCACAAAAACATGGCAGGAAGAGTGGTAGAGGACAGGAAGAGCGGCTGTCAGATTGTAATCATGTGTGTCGCTCCTATCAAGCCACTGTGCAACACAGTCGCACGAACGACAGTTCGTGAGATGCACAGATAGAACAGCCCCGGTGCTGTGTTCCCGCTCCGCCCTCAGTCCTTGACCGCCCTGCACACGGCGTCCGACAGCAGCGCCAGCGGCACCTCCTTGGGCCACAGCTTGGAGAACTCGCCGTTGGGGGCCACCAGGTACACTGCAGGGGTCGTGGGGTGGGTGTGGGAGCCGTGGGCATGGCTTGGGGCCGATGCAAGCGTCCTGCTGCCAGGTCAGGCAGGCTGCACTGCAGATGGGCTCCAGTGTGCGGAAGAGAGACCCCTGCTGGCAGGGGCTGGAGGGATCCAGCGAGAAAGGGAGGCTCCAGTGCCTGACTCACCAAAGGAGCTAACATAGGCCTCATCCATCGCGGCGTCGCCACGCTGCACCGCACGCCCAACGAAACGACTCAGTTCGGCAGGCAGGGCAGGCTGGGAAGGCTTGGGAGGGAGGCAAGGGCAGCCAGGGAGGCCAAGGGGCACGCTGGCGGCGGCTGAAAGGACTGGCATGCAAAGCCAGCCGGGTGGGCGTCACACGGTGCCCTGCGCCCCGTCCCGCACCTTGTACTGCTCGTCGCCCTTGGTGGAAGAAAGCACCGCCGCCTTCTCCTGGCTCTTGAACTTGTGGGCGCACTCCAGCACCTGGAGAGGCCGTGGCGGCAGAGTGGAGCTCAGTTGGTGCCGAGCAGTATGGATGCCAAGGCGCACAAGGAAATCCCCTGCACCCCGAGGCACGGGCCAGCCCTGCGCATCCGACCCACCCCATCTGCGTCCCCAGTCAGCGCCACCAGGGCTGGGTGCCCCGCCGCTGCCACCACGCGCTTGAGGTCATCTGGCTTGTCGGTGGCGGGGCTGAGGCTGAGGTACACAGGGGTGACAGCCACGCCGCAGCGCTGCCGGGCAGCCTCCGCGGCCCTGCGCGGCGTGCCTCATTGTTGAAAAGTCAGCGGCAGGCAGGAGGGGCCACTTGGGTGCATGGGAGCACGCAGGAGCCGGCTGTGGGTTAATGCCTGCATGCCTGCCAGGCACGCACTGACCCGCGCAGCAGGCTACACGCCGCACCTGCAGATGGAGTTGATGCTCTTGACGTCGGTGGCCTGCTGCAGCGAACCAAAGTCGATGAGGGCCCACCGCCCCAGCAGCTGCTGCGCCGTGAAGGGGCGCCCGTTGTGATCGGTCATCCTGCGGGAAAGGGAAGAGAGGCGTGGAGGGAGCGCAGGCATGCAAGCCAGAACAGGGAAGCAGGCAGACAGCCGCCGCGATGACGCCGAGCATGGAATTCAGCCAGCCAGGTGCCAGCCTGCCCTGCACCACCTGCAATTCTACCGCTCTCCTCCGCGAGGCCGCCGTCCAGCTGGCGCTGGCTCCCACCTGAGGGAGGTGATGTCTGGGTGGCGAGTGATCTCCGCCTGGATGGGCTTTCCTCCCTCCTTGGCGAGCACAAACGTCTCGTAAGTGTAGGCACCAAAGCCAATGGCCAGGGCTGCATGCGGGGGTGCAGCATGGGGGCGCAGCGTGGGGCCCAAGGGGGCGCGCACCGGGGGCCCCATACGACGGCGACAAGTGGGCAGATATCGCGGGTCTGCATGTCTGAGCTGGGTATTGCTCCAGGAGCTGCCGCGACGAGCGGCGGGAGGCTGGCAGGAACAGCGCGTTTCACGGCGCGAATGACAGGTGGTGGAGGCTGCGGTCCCGTATGCTTGGCCGCCACCGCCATTCGGACGCGTCAGCAACAGCCAGGGCCAGGGGCGGCGCGACGCGTTGCTGGCACCGCATTGGCCTTCGGGCAGGGTGCTTGGGCCGGTGCTGCCGGTGCGGCAGTGTGTGCAGCGAGCTGAGAGCCACCTGGCACCCAGCTCGCTACCCCTCCTCCAGCACACCGGCGCCAAAACCTTGCGCACCCCTCCTCGCGGCGTTCAACGCTGTTGCTCATCGCTCTGCCCTCGGGTTGGGGCACACGGCTCCAGCCGCTAGCGCCTCCCTGTCTCCCCGCCCACCTGTGCCAATGACGTAGCTGTACGGCACGTCCACCCCCATGACCCTCATCATCGTGCCGCTGGCGGCTGCCGCGGTGGCGGCGGTGGCGGTGACGATGGTGCGCGGGGCCTGCTGTGGGAGGTGGGCGGGCGGCGGGCGCGGCGGCGGCAGCGCCGGGCCGGCGGGCGGTCAGAGGCCTGCAAGGCTTCCAAGAGCCATCCGGGCTTTGTGGGCGCAGGAGCAGGCGTCCAAGGTGGGGCCAGGGCACGGCAGAGTGTCGCGAGCGACAGAAGCGGCGCAGGCATGGTCCTTGGACCCAAGCACAGCCTTGGACTGTGCGCTGCTGCCCTTGTCCTCACCACAGCAGCCGCCGGCAGTGGCGCGGCAGTGCGCTGGGCCAGCGCGGTGGCCGCCCTGCGGCACAGGCTCGCCACAGTGGAGGTTCGAGACATGGCTGGCTGGGTTTGTTCAGTTCTGGTGTTCAAAAAGCAGTTGCACAGGTTGGTGTGGAGCAAGCAAAAAGCCTAGGCCACGTCAGCCACTGCAAGATTTTTCGTTTTGGCTTTCCTGCTGCCCAGTCCCTGTAGCACACCGACTGTACTCATGCAGAGCATCCTGGCGTCGGCAGCCGCTGCAGGAGGCAGCAGGCGTGCTGGTAGGGCCAAGGTGCTGGCCCCGCAGCAGGCGCTGGCTTCCACGGGCCCTTATGGCTCCCACCCAGTCGCGCCAGAACTGCAGAAAGTAATGAGGCTGCCGGGAGGCCTGGTGAGTGAGTTTGAAAGGGCGCTGGCGCCCACGGCGGTGGCTTCTAATCCGGTGCAGCTCTGTCTCATCCGGCGTAGGCGATTGCAGCCCTGACTTACGCTGCCGCTGCGCAGCGTGGCCGAACGCTGCTGCCCATGCCAATTCCAGGAAACTTGACCGCCAATGACCCAACACACGGCTAACCCTCCTGCCTGCGGTGATGCCTACCACAGGCACTGACCCGGACCAACATCCTGGTCCTCACTATCGGTGCTGCTGCCACGGTGTGGGCCTACGACCTGCTGTTTGGGGAGCATGTGGCGCAACAGACGGTGGAGGAGCTGAAGCGGCGCGGGGAGGAGCCGCCGCGCGTTGCCGACGTGTGATCGGGCCCCCGTGGCCCTGTATCATATCTGCCTGGATGACTGCAACAAGCGTTGAGCAGCCAATGCATGCAAGCTTGTTTTTTTGTGCCTGCATGCACTGAGGCGGCGGCGGGCGGCGTACTGCCGTACAAGCGCCCAAACACACAGGTGTGACCTTTGCCCGTGCCCGCATCGAGCCCCAATTCGGGCCACAAATCCAGGACTGCGATTGCGCCATGTTTGCCAACTCCTACTCCTTGCTTGCGGGGAACGGTGAGGACCCCCAGCCGGTCCCCAACGCCAAAGGAGCAGCGGTGAAGCCCAAGAAGCCCAAGAAGAAAAAGGGAACGTCTGCAGCCCCCGAGGAGCAGCCCGCTCCCGTGATCACCCCCCCGCCCGCTGCCCCCGCGCCATCAGCCGCCAAGGGCCCTCAGACGGCCAAGGATGCGGGCCAGGCGCTCGAGTCATCGGCCGTGGCAGCGGGGGCGGGCGAGTGGGGGTCCCTGGCGCTGCAGTGGACCGACCAGGTGGGCGGCGCCAGCGGGCGGCGGGCGGCATTGCAGGGCTGCGCCTTGGGTGCCTTGCATTGACTGGAGCTTCGCCAAGGGCCAAAAGTCCCTCCTTGGCGTGGCCTGCAGGTGCTGCACGGGGATGCGCTGTACACCGATGGCAGTCAACTGGTTGACTTCAAGCAGGTCCGGTCAGCAGAGTGGCGGCCCGCGCAGCAGCATCACACCCACAGGCTCCCTTGCACCCAGCAGTAGCAGCGTGGCATGGCTCAAGCCAGCCAATATCCCCCCTCCTACGCACCTGGTCAGAGCAATTCGTAGAATCATGTTTGGCTTAGCTGGACTGCCCGCTGGCTCGCGTACCCGCCCCTGCCCCACGTCACCGCCCCCGCCGTCGCCCCGTGCCTGCCTCCCGCAGGTGCTGCTCAAGTGCCGGGCGCTGGAGCTGCTGGTGGAGGGGTGCCTGGAGCGCGGCTCGGCGGCAGCCGACGCCCCCGCCCTGGCGCATCTGCTGGCGGCGGTGGCTCACCCCTCCACGCCCGCGGCCGTCACCCAGGCCCTAGCGCAGGCGGTGGCCGCCCTGGGCCAGGTGTGCGGCACCGACCGGCTGGCCCCCACGCCGGCCGCCAAGCGCGCCGCTGCCGCGGCCCTGGGCCTGGTGCGGCGCGGCGTGCTCAAGCCGCCGCCTGCCAAGCCCGCGGAGGCCCCCGCGGCCAAGCTGAAGCGGCTGGGCGGCGAGCTGGTCAGGCAGGAGGCGCGCCTCGCGGGCACCACCCAGCCCAAGGAGCTGTGCAAGGCGTACGGAGCGGTGCTGGAGCTGCTGTGCGGGCAGCTGGACGTGCTGGGCCCCGTGGGGGGCGCCGGCGCGCCGCCGCAGGCGCCCGAGGTCGCGGCCGCGCTGCAACCGCTGGAGGAGCTGCGTGCCGCGCTGGCCACCCGCCTGCAGGTGGGCTGGCTGCGGCCGCTGCGGCCGCCGACCCTGGCGGCCCGGTCGGTGCCTCTGTGGCTGCACTGGAAGGCAGCGCACGCCGCATGGGTATAGCTGATGGCAGCGTGGCGCCGGGCGAGCGGTCTCCCACTCTCGCCATCCTCTGGCTCCAGCACAGGGCCCAGCAGGCGCACTGCAGGCCCAGCTCGATCTTCTCACCGCCGGGCTGCGCCCTGGCTGCTGTGCAGGAGGTGCAAGCGCCGCCCAAGCCTCAGCTCAGCGTGGCGGAGCAGCTGGCGGAGGCGGAGGCGAGCCACAGGCGGGACGATGCAGCCCTGGTGGTGAGCGTGGGCCTGCCGGTCTTCGGTCTTTGGGCTGCTGCACGCAGCGCCGCTGCCTGCTGCCCGCGGCGGCGCCCGGCAGCCGACGCGCATCGCGCGCCGGGCGTGGGGATGCAGCAGGGGCACTCACGCCCCCTGCTCGCCTGCTGGTGTGCAGGGGCGGCTGTCGGAGGTGGAGGGGCGCATCGCACTGCTGGAGGTGGAGCTTGCGGGGCTCAAGGGAGAGGCCGGGGAGCTGCGCTCGCGGCGCGCCTCCGCCGCCCAGCACCACCACCACCGCCTGGATGCCATCCGCAGCGGCAAGCCGGCCAGCGGCGCGTCGGCGGCGGAGGTGGCGGCCGCGGTGCAGGGCGGCCTGGCGGCGCTGGAGGGGCTGGCCGGCGCCGTGCGCGGCGGCGGCGGCGAGCCCACCGCCGCGGGCGACGGCGGCGCGGCCGCAGACGCCGCCGCGCTGAGTCAGCAGGTGAGCCAGCAGGAGGTGTGCCGGCGCTGCCCATCACGCCGTGCCTCGCCTGCCATCCCTGGCTGCCCTTTTCCCCGCTTGCACGGTCCGTTTCCGGCATGTTGCCTGTTTGCCCAACCACCTGCCCTCTCGCCCTGCACCTCCCCGTACGCCCTGCCAACCCTGCTGCCAAGCAGGTGGTGGCGGCGGAGGTGCCTGTGAAGCTTCTGGGCGCGATGCAGCAGGTGGTGGAGCTCAACCTGGCTCAGCTGCACGAGCTGGGCGCCAAGGCGCGCTTCTTCCGGGAGCGGCTAGACAAGGTGGGCAGGTGGCGGCGGTGTGGTGTGGTGTGTGGTGGTGGTGGTGATGTGGTGTGTGGTGGTGATGGTGGTCGTGGTGGTGGTGCTGGTGGTGGTGCTGTGTGGTGGTGCCGCGATGCAATGCCTGCGTGCTTGCATTCACACATGCGCTGCCCACCGTGTGTGTGGCACATGCGCGTGTGTTGCAACAACGATGGCGGCGGGGCTGCTCACTGTGCATGTTCGGGCTGCTGTGCGCCCTGGCCTGCAGGCCGTCAAGCAGGGCGAGCAGGCGGCCAGGCTGGGGCTGGGAGACCCCAAGACCTTCAAGCAGCAGCGATCCACCGCCGAGAACAATGTCAAGGTGCGGCGCCCGCCGCCTCCACCCTCAAAGAGCACACACGCACATGCGCACACACACACACACACGCACAAACACACGCCGCACACGCAGCAAACACAACCTTTCACTTTGCGGGCCGTGGCGACCCGCGCCAGCCTGCCCCTTGTGCTGCCCCATGCGCCTGCCCCACCCCCGCTGCACAACAGAGACACACACACAGCACCACCACCACGCCACGAGTGGCTCCGCGCAGCTGATCCTGGCCGCTCCCTCCTACCCACCAGCTCACCTAGCGTCGTGTCCCCATGCTGGCACCCCCACCACGCGTGCAGGAGGTGATGGCAGCGGCAGAGGGCGCGGCCGCGGCGGCCCGCGCCGCCGCCGCCGCCTACCGCGAGCGGCTGCCCGCCATGCTGCGCCTGCCCACCTTCCTGCCGCCGCCGCCAGAGTACCTGGCGGCCGTGGAGGCCAAGGCGGCAGAGGCGGAGGCGGTCCTGAGCAGCATCAGGGCTGGCACCTACGCGCCGCCGCAGCCCGCACCCGCAGCGCCCGGCCCCGCGCCCTCTCCCGGCGCCGCGCCGGCGGCGCCGGCCGTCACCACCCCGGCGGGCGTGGCGGCGGCCGCCCCGCAGCGGCCGTCGTCGGCTGGGGCCAGGGGGGTGGCCGGAGGGGAGGTGGGGGCCTTGGAGGCACGGCTGGCCATGCTGGAGGCAGAGAATGTGAAGAAGGATGCGCAGGCAAGCGTCAGGGGCCTGCCCGGTATGCCGGCCAGGCCAGCATCGACCCTTGCCCTGTGTGCAGCCCAGCACACACGGGACCCTAGCAGCCCAGCACGTAGAGCTTACAGCCCTAACGGCTGTAAGCTCTGGCGCCCTACACACTGGCTCTGCCTTGCAGCTCACTGCGTGCTGGTGCTGCGGTTGGGGCTGAGCGGCCCGCCGAACGGAGGTGCCATCCGGCCCGCCCCTTCTTCCACCCCATGCAGATCGCAGCCATGATCTCCTCCACCACCCTCGAAGTCCCCTCCCCGCTGGCAGGCCGCACCTCCATGCCCCCCGCCATGCTCTCCTCCCCCACCAGCAACAAGCCGGTGGGGCCCGCGGCCCCCATCGCGCCCGCGGCGCCGCCGCCGGCCGCTGCCGCGACGCCGGCGCCTGGCCCCGCGGCGCCGCCCGCCGCGTCGGCGCTGAGCGACGCCACGGCGGCGCCCGCTGCGCCGCCCATGATCACTTTCAGCCAGGCACTGCTGCAGCAGCCGGCGCAGGCGAATGGCAGGCCCAAGGCGGCCCGCCCCCGCCGCGCCTGAGCGGCGAGCCTCGGCAACCTCTGCCAGAGCCGCGCCCCGGCAGGCTCCCCATCCTGCAAGCTGGCGACCGGCAGAGGCGTGAGCGCTTCTTTTCTGTGTGCAGCAGCCAGGCCAGGATGGGCAAGGCGTCGTGGCGGCGCCCAGCCGGCCCGCCAGCCGTTGCTGGGCAGCTGCAAGTTACCCCGTTATTCCCAGCCGCAGTGTGTGTTCCAGCCCAGATCCTGTCTTCTGCCTTCCCTTTCTCATGCGGTCTCTCGCCCTGTTTTCCCTCTCATATCATATCACGCCATACACCTGTGAATTGACGGGCAAGGCTGTCTACAGGCTTGAGCTCTGGCAAGGTTGAATGTGCTGGGGGACCGTGCCGGCCGTCGGTGGGATAGCAGCAGGGCGGCCCAGCCCAGACCGCGACGGTACAGCCCAGCATGCCAGCCCACCCTGTCCTGTCGCTCAGGATTGGGGGCACATATTACATCTTTTAATTGTAAAGCACAGGACCGCGCACACAACCATGTGTGTGGACCAGCCCAGTGCCATAGTGCGCCACCTCTCAGAGACGACGCGTCTTGCAGCAAGGAGGAAGCCCGCCCAGAAGTGGGGAAGCGTGGCGGTTCTACAGGCAGTCAGAAAGAGAAGGACCGACTGGCATGTCGGCCGGAAGCTGCCGTCAGTCATCAAACAGTGCCGGCAAGGCAGCTGCGTCGGCGTCGCCGTCTTGCGCCGCCCGCTGCCGCCGCTGCCGCTCTGCCGCCAGCTCTTCGCCACTGAGCGGCACCACGCCACGTGGGGCTGTGCGCTGCGGCCGCTCGCCCAGCGTGAACTTGTAGCCCTGCAGCGGAGCGCAGCATGCAGGGAGGAACCTTCTGAATGCAGGCTAGCCAGCAGCTCCAGCTTCAGTGCAGCCGGCACTGGCACCCGCAGCTTCCACCACTGTTCCCGAGCGCTCGCAACGCCTGCCAGCCCAGGGGCCGCCCCACCTCTCGCTGCCTCTCGCCGTAACCGGCGTGCAGGGCAAAGTGGTGGAGCACGATGGAGGCGGCCACGGCGACGTTGAGGGAGGCGGTACCGGCGCCGTACTGCGGAATGTACAGGAAGGAGTCGCACAGCGCCAGCTGCTTCTCGTTCAGGCCCTGGCCCTGCACGCAGGGTGTTCAGGGTGGGCAGGTGTACTGGTCCATGGGTGAAGCGGCGGGAAAGCGGGCGGGAAGGTGGCCAGGAGCTGGGGCAGGCACGCCACCAGGCAGGCCCGCCCGCACTCCACATGCATACCAGACCATGCTGTGGGGCGGATGGCGGCAGCAGCGCGGGTGCCGCAGGCTCTGCCCTGCCCCGGCCGCACCTCATTCCCCAGCATGAAGGCTGTGTTGCCGCGGAACGGGAATCGGTGCACCGGCTGCGCGCCATCTATGATCTCCACCCCCACCACCGTGCACCCTGCAGGACCATCCGCACGGGGCGGGGCCGGCCAGGCAGGGCGCAGCATTGCTTCAGGCTCGAGCACGCTGCACCTTTGAGCTCGAGCACGCTGCGCCTTTGAGCAGCCTGTAGCACTCCACGCAGCTTGGCGCCGCCCTTGGAATGCCCGCACCCTTGTTGTCCTTCAGGTCCTGGCAGCACTCGTCCAGTGTGTTGTAGTGGCAGAAGTCCACATACTCGCTGGAGCCGTGTGCGCCAAATGTGTTGAACTGCCGCGATCCCACCAGGCACAGCTGCCGCACGTTGAACGCCGTGGCGCACCTCGCCAGCGTGCCTGCGGCACAGCATTCGTGGCAGCGGCACGGTGGGGCGCCTGGCCAGGCCGGCGCGGGCGGCGGTGCAGCAGGCAGCGGCAGCGAACAGAGGCCAGCGGGCACTGAAGGTACCTAGATTGTGCTTCTTTGACACGTTGTAGGTGATCAGGTAACACGATGGTGGTTCAGAATAACCCGTACCGTTGCCATCAAGCTGGTCGCTGCTGGCGGGGGCCTGCAGCACGCGTGTGGGGGCAAACAGGCAGCAGGGCGGCGGCGGCGGCGGTGGGCGGGCGGCGGCAAGGGTTGCAGCCCAGGTGCCACGTGCTCCTGGCAATGCGGGAATCAGGGGCATTGGGTGCGCTGCAGGGTTCCGTCTGCCGCTGCACTGCTGTTGCCTAACCTGCAAGGTGTCGGCCCCGCCGCCCCGCCGCTGCATTTCAATCGAAATAGATTGCATCTGTCCCCCAGTCATTGTGCACGAGCGGGGAAGCTTGATTACTCTGCTTGCTGCGCTGCATGAGCCCATGCAGGGGGGCCAAGAAGAAAGCCGGCCTCGAGCCAAGCTCTCAAAGTGGCCACTCATTTCACTTTCTGGCACCACTCGGCACCTGCACAGTACACCCGCTAGCTGTTAAGGGCCCTGCGCCACGTCTTGCGATAACCTACTGCCAGGTTCAAGTTTGGTGCGCCAACCTCACGCACACTCGCAGTGCCGCCGCCCCCGATGGCTCTCGCACACTCGATCTCTATGGTTTGCAGCCCAGCAGCCTCCATGCGGCACTCGGCAGCCCGCCCGCACTCTAGGCGGGAAGGCATGGCCGTGCGGGCCGCAGCGCTCCCCCCGGCCGCTTTCGTGGGCTCCTCCAAGCGGTCAACGCAGCCGCGGGTGCTCCCGATCCTGTCCGAGCTGCTGGAGGCGCAGGTGCGGCGCCCTCGTTGCCTTCCCGCCTCCGCGCCGCCCTACCACCAGCACGCGGCGCCTCAACCCTCCCTGCTGCCTGTGCTAACCTGCACCCCTCCTCCGCGCCGCAGGCCGCCGTCAACGTGTTTGAGAGGCTTGCCGGGCGCACCGCGATGATTGGCTGCGGCGTTGCCGCCGCGGCGGAGCTGCTGCTGCCGGGCCCCGAGACGGGTCTGTTTGGCGCCTGGGCCCAGGGCGACCAGGCCGGCCAGTTTGCCGCCACGGGCATCTTCATGCTGTGCTGCTCAGGTGGGTGCAGGGACTCAGCAGCAGCCCTCCTCCTCTCAGAGTCGCGGAGCCTGAACGGCGCCGATCCGCTGCCGGCTTCCGCCCTGCCGCCACCCCCAACCCTCCCCCGGCTCACCCGCTGCCCTGCCCCGCGCTCCTGCCGCTCTCCCGCCCCCTGCCGCAGTGGGCCTGGCTGCCCGCACCTACCGCCCCGTGGCGCGGCGCCACCACCGCCTGCTGGAGCCGGTACTGGCCAGCATGACCGGCGGGCGGCGCAGCTTCTCGGGGGTCACCCAGAAGAATGTGGACAGAGGGGTGGACTATGTGCTCGACTCCGTCTTCACCCAGCCCTTCATGCGGTGAGCCGGGCGGGCGGGTGGATGGGCGGGGGGGGGCTCGGCGGGCACGCAGAGGGGGCGGCGAGGCGCGGTGGGATTGGGGAGGCAGACCGGCAAGGCAGGGGCAGCGAGCGCAGGTGCCCTGGCACGGCAAGAGAAGGGTTTTAAGGTTTGGCAGTGCGCAGCATCGGCCGACTCCCTGGGGCTGCTTCTCTGCTAGGCGCTCATGCCGCCGCTGCGCCTGGCGCCATTGGCTGCAGGGCCAACTTCCTTGAGGAGGACCGGTACATCTGAGGTACATCTGAGGTACATCCGAGGTACCCACCTGCAGCTGGGACAACGCCACCACCACCCCCTCGCCGCTCCCCATCGCTGCCCTCCCTGGCGCCCACCCCTCCCTTGGCCGATATTCTTTCTTTCTGTCGCACCACCAGCCGCCGCTCGCAAGGTAGCTGGCTGGCTGCAGAACTGCCTGTACCCTATCCTACCTACACCGTTGATCGAGCCGTGCCATTGGCACTGGCCTCCACGCAAAGCAACCCGCCAAAATCCACCCCCCCCACTTCTTTGCCTAATGCTATGGCCCATCTGTTGGCTGCTGCTGTGGCAGCAACAGCACGCTGAGTCACAGTTT